TTTTCCTTTATTATTTCATTGAATGCAGTTTTAAAACCCAGCTTCTCTGCAGTCCTGTCCCAATTTGACCAAACGTACTAGCCAGTTGGGCAATTCTTTGTTTGAGTTTACCTCCTGGTCCTGGTGAAGTCCTCTTCCCACCGGGTTGCTGGTGGAGTTTAGATAGCTGCTCACTGAATGCTGCTGCGGTAACTGGTCATTTCAAAATCCCACGATTGTCTCTACTGGTTTCCCGTGTCCATCAGTCTCCAGGTGCCCCTCTGCCGTCGGTCAGTCCTCTCCTATTTCCTGGAATGTGCCCTCTTTGCTTTACACTGGCTAATATTTTTTTTTATCTGTTTAAACGTGCCATTAGCCTATTCTGCCATCTTGATTTTCCTTATTATTATATAATGTTTTTAAACTTAAGTTGGTGTACTTTTCAACTTAAAGAGTTCTGTTTGATTTTTAAAACTTCTTTCCATTTCTCTACTAAGTTAGCTTGATAGAATACTGAATTACTTCTTTGTCTTTGTGGAAATTTGTTGAGTTTTCTTAAAACAGCTACTTTAAATTTTTTCTGAATCAGAACACATGCCTTTCTCATATCCCATTCTGCAGTTCAACGTGAGATGAATTTTACCACATCTTACCTTGTATTGTAGTTTATTTTCCACATTGCCCCTGTTTTCTCTTCATTTTTCAGTTCAGAGGTTCTAACCTTCTAATTCTCTGCTGTAAGCCCATCCATGAATTTTAACTTTCAGCAAGTTTCCATTGCTGTATTTTTCATTGTAGAGTTTTTCCATGTTTTCCTTGTTTCCTTATGGTTTCTTGTATAAATTTTCTAATTGCTAGTTAATTAAATTATTAGTCATACTACTTATTTCAATCTTCCAGTTTTAAATTTTTGTTTTTGCTCTGAAAGGGTCACAGAGACCGAGGGAGAGCTATAGAGCGAGAGCGCCAGAGCGTGAGCGAGAGCGAGAAAGAGAGAGATTTTTCATCTATTGGTTTGCTCTCCATGTGGCTACAGTGGTCAAAAGCAGGAGCTTCATTTGGATCTCCCCTTTGGGTGGCAGAAACCAAACATTTGGATAATCCTAACTTCTTTTCCCAGTATCGGCTAGCTGCATCAGATGTGGCAGTTGGGACATAGTCAGCTTCCATGTGACATTTGCAGTCAGTGCAGGTGAATCACAATCAGCCTCTGATCTTCCAATTTTTGTGAAATTGGATAATAGCTCTTTTTAATAACATCTAACTGAATTTGGTTTTTTTTTTTTTTAGTTATAGGAGTAGAAAACAAAAATTCTAAGTATCCTTGTAAATTTCAGTTGCTTTTGAATCACGTTTGTATTGTTGCAGATATATTGAAAATTTTTAAATGTTTACAAGGTTTTGAAATTACTATCTCTTGACTTAGCTAATTAATGCATTGACTTGGAATATCACAGATTATAGAAATAAAAAATTTTATAGCTGTTGTCTTTTAATGGTTTCTTTCTTGTGTAATAGGTTTTTGTTAATTTAAAAAATATTCTCAGTAGGAATCCAAAGTCTTTAGGGGACAAAGTGATCCAGGCATAAATAAGTACTTCCGTGCCTTGTAGATCAGTTTGTGCTAATCCTTAGCTCAACATTCCTCAGTTGATTTCTACTCATTTCTTTCAGAGTAAGTGAAAGAGAGAGAGAGAGAACACTTAAACATTTTTTTTCCACATGGATAACTTCATGTCAACTACTAAAATCATGAAATGAAGAACTGATTATAAAACTGCAAAGTTGAAAGCACTGTTTTCCCTTAGCTGACTGTTTAAAAAAATAACTAGGATTCCATAATTTCACATATATTTTTTAAAGATTTATTTATTTTTATTGGAAAGGCAGATTTACAGAGAGACAGAGAGGAAGATCTTCTGTTTGTTGATTCACTCCCCAACCAGCCATAATGGCCAGAACTGTGTCGATCTGAAATCAGGAGCCTGGAGCCTCTTCTGGGTCTCCCAGGCAGTTGTAGGGTCCCAAGGCTTTGGGCCATCTTTGACTATTTTCCTAGGCCACAAGCAGGAAGCTGGATGGGAAGTGGGGACGCCAGGATTAGAACCAGTACCCATAAAGAATCTCATTACAGGCAAGGCAACGACTTTAGCTGCTAGGCTACTGTGCCAGGCCCATTATTTCATATTTAAGTAGTAAATATGTCATATACTTTAAAAAATCACTATGGAACCAGTGCAATGGCTTGACTGGTTAATCCTTCACCTGAAAGTGCCAGTAACCCATATGGGTGTCAGTTCATGTCCCGAAGGCTCCACTTTCCCTCCAGCTCTCTGCTTATGGCTTGGGAAGGCAGCAGAGGATGGCTTAAGTCCTTGGGACCCTGTACCCACATGGGAGCCATGGAGGAGGCTCTGCTCCTGGTTCCAGATCACCTCAGCTCAGGGTGTTTTGACCATTTGTGAATCAACAGATGGAAGGTCTTTCTCTGTGTCTCCTTTACTTTGTAAATCTGCCTTTCCAATAACAATAGATAAATCTTTAAAAATGATTAATACGAAATAGCATTAGAGAAATTAATAGTATGGATAGCATGAGGTATATTATTTTTGAAGACAGGTAAAATTTCTAGGCACGGTTTCTAGGTATTAAAGGAGACATAGAAGTATGGGATAGTGTGTGCCGTTCTGTATAATAATGCAGTCTGGATAAATTAATTGCATTGCACGACATACGATTAGACATCAGTTACCAGTCAGTTCACTGCATGTTTAACAATATACACACACACACACGCGCACGTATGCATATATAAACACATAAGCCTTTATGTTTATGTCTTAAAATTTACACATTGAACTTATGAAAGGCTAAATAGTTGTGCAAGTTTGGGAAGGGAGAGCTCACCATAGGCCTCTGTTATTGGCAGATTGTATTTTAAGAAGCAACAGCAGATCATTGTGGAGATGTGATGTTGGGTCCATGGCTAAATTCTATTTTACCACCCTAGCTATTTAATTTGTAAGGCTACTGCATTAACAAAAGGACAGATAATGACAACAGGTTGCTGTTATTCATTCAACTGGTGAAGCAATTTCATCTGCTTGGTAAATATTGTCTGTTTTGAGGTTGGTCCTGATCTTTTCTAGGGATTATCTTTGATCTCTGGGGGAACTTGTATCTCACCAGTATTTTTGTTACTTTTTCATCTAATTCATTTAACATGATTTTGTTAAGATTGGGCATCATTGATGTTTTTGTCTTGATGATCCATGTTGTCTGGGTCTCTTAACGACGTATTCAAATTGAGGACAGAAAAATTGATATAGCCTTGGTTTAGAAGGAAATATATTGTGTGGTTCTAATTCTTTACAGCAGAGGAAACCATACTTTACCACATTAAAAGACTGCATACCATTTAGCTGTCAAAGACCCATAACCCTGTCTATATATGCTTGCTTTTACTGTCTAGTCTTTAATCAGTGATTTATCACATTCAGGCTTTCATTGTTTTTCTCCATTGCATTGACTGCTCCTAGCAACAGCTATCCAATTCCTAGTCTTTTAATTTCTTCTCTGTACTTCTCAAATGCCTGAAATGTTGCACCTGCCATGCTTTCTCTTTCACCAACAGAAGTTTTAACAATTGTGTTTGCACTGTTACAGCATATTAGGGACTAGTTAACACCAGTGGTGGGCTCCTCATTGCTAGCTACTTAGTGGTTTTTACATATCAAAATCTCACTTTGAATTCAGTTTCACAGGGCATCTTTTAAAATTTATTTTATTTTTATTGGAAAGTCAGATATACAGAGAGGAAGATCTTCTGTTTGTTGATTCACTCCCCAAGTGACCACAATGGCCAGAGCTGAGCCAATCCCAGGACCCCGGATCCTCTTCCGGATCTCCCACACGGGTGCAGGGTCATCCTCAACTGCTTTCCCAGGCCACAGGCAGGGAGCTGGATGGGAAGCAGGGATCCTGGCACAAGCAAGGCAAGGACTTTAACCACTAGGCTACCATGCTGGGCCTTCACAGGGCATATTTTGGTATTTTCTCTTTCATGTTAGGTTCCCTAGAACAAACTTTGTTTTTGTAAGTAGGTAGTTTGTTAGGCAGCAGTTTCTGAGATTAACCTGTATGAAAGAGGCTGCAAAAGAAATAGTGTTAGGATGATAGAGAAATTGAGTTGTTCAGCATCTTCAGTTGTTTCTGTGGGAAATCTAAACTGAGAATAACCTTTCTGAGATACCCTGGATTGCGGTGTGCAGGGCTGGGCTTTCCGCTCTAGGAGAGAAACATACCCTTTGGTGAGGGCAACTCTGAAACTCAGGGGTATTCCTAAGGATTCATCTGTTCAATTTAAGTAGACAAAATTCTAAAAGCTAGGAAACTGAGCATTTTAATTCTGCAGGCAGTATATCATAGTCTACACAACATCCACAGTAACAAGGTAGGTTTCAGTGGAATGGTGAGGGTGGGAAGGATAGTATTTTATCAGAGAAATAAAGAGATTAGGAAGTTTGAACATTTGTTCAAATTATTTAACTGTGAATGGAATAAGAGACAATATAGAAGTTTTTGAAAAACTGCGAATGAGGGGATCCTGCATATAGGCCTTGTGACTTGCCTTTGCCAGGAAGCAGTTCATTTTCACCATTGTAATTGAACAGGAGGTAAAAAGAAGGGTGCAGATAAATTTATACCATCAAGGAAGAAGAGAGCTGAGACAATTTCTACTTGTTTCTTTTAGTTTACAGCTCACACGGAAAATTGGCTGGATTGAAGGTATAGGGCTAGTAGAATATGCTTTAATAGATCATATGCAGAATGAGGAGAGAGTGCTCACGCAGGTAACCAGTGTGTATTGAGGGTCCATTTTAGATCCATGTTTCTGAGTTTGTAAAATTATCAATTTATGCAGCTGTGTAACATTTTTTTCTGGCAGCACTTAAGTTGGTTTAAAGTGTAAATATTATGCTCAGAGTCTTACCAGATTATTTTCTTTTCCTTTTGCATAGCCATCAAATCAAATCATTACAATATAGTAACACGGGAGACATGATACTTGTTGTATCCGGAAGCTCTCAGGCCAAGGTGATTGACAGAGATGGTTTTGAAGTAATGGAATGTATAAAGGGAGACCAATATATTGTGGACATGGCCAACACCAAGGTAAGTACGAAACAGAATATTTAAATGAGCTTGATGAATTCAGCACACATTTATTAATCACTTGTTTGAACCTTTATGTCATAATTCACCATAAATGTTAGTGTGTTAAAACAGTAAGCTTATTCTGGGAGAATGCTAATTTGAATGTTGTCAGCTGGGGCACTTGGATGTCACTTAAGTTCAAAATGGCATTACTGAGATCATTAGCGATCATTCTTCTACTTTATGGCATCTTTTTTATTTATCTTTTACCTGCTTGCACTCTTAGCCTTTTTCTCAGGCTGACTGCTTGTCTGTGCCTCCCCTCTCCATTTGTCTAGTTTATTCTCGTTGTGCTAGTCTAGGTGGAATTAGTCCTCGAGCTAGAAGCTGGCTTCCTTGAAAGACGTACATGAAGACTGTAGATACCTTTACATTGGGCTTCAGTTCTTTAAAAAAATTTAAAAAATGATTGTTTTTATTGTAAAGGCAGATTTACAGAGAGAAGGAGAGACAGAAAGATCTTCAGTCTGCTGATTCACTCCCAAAGTTGCGGCAATGGCCAGAGCTGAGCCAACCCGAAACCAGGATCCAGAAACCTCTGGGTCTCTCTCATGGTTTCCCACATGGTCTGGGTCTCCCACATATGTGCAGGGTCCCAAGGCTTTGAGCCATCTTATACTGCTTTCCCAGGTCACAGCAGAGAGTCTGATGGGAAAAGGAGCATCTGGGATATGAACCCTGGCTGATGCAAGGCAAGGATGTAGCCAACAGGCTATTGCACCAGGCCCCAGGCTTCAGTTCTTATATAACATCCCAGGATCAGGTAAACTTCATGAAGAGGAGAAAGAAGTCCACCATTTGATTTGTGAATATCAAGATGAAACTAAAAGATTGTGGGGGATACTGAAGCAGCTATCTTTGGAAATTTGCAGCTATTATAGGACATGAAGGAAAGAGGTTATATAAAGTTTTTAATGAGATAAGGATGTTTTGAGATTGATGTGTAAGTGCATTAAATGTATCTGCAGCCACTATAATGCTGTAACACTGATGACTTGAATCAGTACTTGATGGGGCTAGTATCATACCATAATGGGTTAAGCGATCGTGGACAATACTAAAATCCCATGTGAGTTCCATTTAGAGTCTCAGCTGCTGCACTTCTGGGCCAACTCCCTGCTTGTGTCCTGAGAAAGCAGTTAGAATGGCCCAAGTACTTGGGCCCATGACACTGATGTAGGAAACCCACATGGAGTTCCAGGCTCCTGGCTTCAGCCTGTTCAGCCCTGGGTATTGAGGCCATTTGGGGAGTGAACCAGCAGACAGAAGATATGTTCTCTATATCTCTCCCTCTGTAACTCTTTCACGTAAGTAAAATCTTTTTTTTTTTTAAGTGGCAGGTCCTATTCTTGCCAGCATGTTACAGGTTGACTGTTCCTGCCTCCAAATTATAGAGTCTAGGTCTGTTCTATGAGTCTTTATTGTACCGTGGTTCAAAGATTTGCCCAGGTCATGTTTTTCTCATAGTAAGGACAGAAACTCCAGATCTGAAAGTGCATTCAAGTCTTTGCTTATGTCATGTGTGGTACCATTCAATCAGCCAAAGCAAGTATCATCCCTGTGCCGAACATTGATTCAGTGGAGAAATATGGAGAGGGTTGCCAGAGAGGAACTGCAGAATCGCAAGGTGAACATTGGTATATAGGGAAGTTTGATAGATTGGGAACAGTGCTGCAATCTACTAAAGATATATTAAAGTAAATATGATTGATGCAGAATTTTGGGGGCCTTAATTTTAATTCTGACTTTTTCCTTCTTGTCTGACACATTATTTTTAAGATTTATTTCTGTTTATTTGGACGGCAGAGTTAGGGAGAGGGGAAGACAGAGAGAGAGAGAGATTTTCCATCTGCTGCTTCACTCTCGAAATGGCTACAATGGCTGGGTCTGGGCCAGACTGAAGATAGGAGCCAGAAGCTTCTTCCAGGTCTCATACGTGTGTGCAAGGGCACAAGTACTTGGACCATCTCCTGCTGCTTTTGCATGATCATCAGCAGGGAGCTGGATCATAAGTGGAGCAGCCAGGTCTCTAACTAGTACTCATGTGGAGGCTTTGAACCAGTTCAGCTCTGGCCATTGCAACCATGTGGGGAGTAAGCAGCTCAAGTATACTGCCCCTTAGCTGCATCAGTAAGCACTATAGGTAAAAGGAGATTACTTTTGCAAAGGTTTCTGGACATGTGAGACTGATTGCTAGGCTATTGCGCTGGAACCATGCAGAGAATTTATACAGGTGGTAGTTTCAGAGGAATTTAAAGTAGAAAGTGTCACCATTTAATGACTAAGAGAATGACTGATTATAATGGAGGTTAGCAATCTGGCCTTTGGATCAAATCTAGCATATATCATTTTTAGTAAATGAAAATTTGTGACAAAATATATACACATGTATTCATTTAATATTTTCTGCAGATCCTTTCATGTTACAGTGGTGGAGCTGAGTAGTTGTGTCAGAGACCATTTGGCCCACAAAGCCTAAAACATGCCTGTGTAGAGAAATAAATATGTCAATTAATACTTTCTCTGGTAAAACTTATCACAGAAAATTTTGCTGACAATTTTAGGAAATATCTTTTTTTTTTTCCTGAAAACTAACACTTGGGCTCCGTTTAAGAATAACTCTTGGGTGACAATTTACAGTGTATTCTCTGCTGCGTTTCAGCTCTCTGTAGGAGTAGGTTCTGGGCGCTCTGTGGTGTGAGTCACGGAGCCTCACTTCGTCTGGTGACGGCGAGTGGCATTCCAGCAAGCAGCTGTTTAACATGGCTGTTGTCATTGGGGCAGCCACAAACATATGGACACTTAAGTACAGATTAACACACACACACGTGTGTATGTTTTGGATAAACCAGTATTGATCATAGCCAAGTAAAAGCCTTTCTTTATTCAGTGTATTACATGTTATGAGAAACAACTATTTGCTTTATTCTTCTAATTTATTTTCAGTTATGAGTGTTTATTAAAGTAATTATTTATTTTTTAAGGAGTGTCTTGTTTAGATGGAGAAAACTAGGTCAATTGATTAAAAGAAAGCGCTTTCATCACTAACTAATTTTAAAGGTGTCACTTTAAAATGTTTCCACTAATGTTAGCATGGTACTGAATTTGTTTAGATTCATTTAAGAATCCTTGGTTGAACTTCATTTTGTTATGACTAATTTTGGTCACTGTTTTAACACAAGGGCACTTAACATTCCCAATGCCTTTGTCATGTTCCTATCTTTACAAACAAGAAACAACATTCATGGTCTTTTAGATTTTTTTCAGTAACCTACTACTAGTGTTCTTTTTTTATTTATTTTTAATGTTCTTATTCTAGGTACTCAACAGTTAAGGTGACCCCAGGTTTATTTTGTCTCAATGTCTTTTTAAATAGGGATTGTTTTCTTTTGATCCTCTTCGAAAAAATATGCCTCTTATCCTAGGAGTCAAGAGATACTGGGGTTGAAAGACCTATTTCTGGGGATTGCCTTCAAGGCTTGCTGGGCTGGATGAAGTGTTAACTTGCTGTTTGGGCAAAATCTAGAAGTCAGATTTTTTTTTTTTAAGATTTATTTATTTTTATTAAAAAGCCATATATACAGAGAGGAGGAGAGACAGAGAGGAAGATCTTCTGTCCAGCTTGAGCTGAGCCAATCTGAAACCAGAATCCCAGAGCCTTTTCAGGGTCTCCCATGTGGGTGCAGGATCCCAAGGCTTTGGGCCGTCTTCGACTGCTATCCCTGGCAACAAGCAGGGAACTGGATGGCAATCAGGTCCGCCGGGATTAGAACCGGCAACCATATGGGATCCCGGTGTGTTCAAGGTGAGGGCTTTAATCGCTATGCTATCTTGCCAGGCCCTGGAAGTAAGATTCTAATGATTGAATGACAATCAGTTGTAGAGGAGTCCCTGATTCTGCAAGTGAGGAGAATAATACTGGTACACTAGGAACTGGCTGGGATGTCAGGTGGAGTTGTCAGCCGAGAAGCTGAGCTAAATGCAGGAAGAATGAGAAGGTTGGAGTAGTGTTTAAGATTGGGAAGACCAAGGCAGTATGGGACCAAAGTCCTAAAAGGCTGGGCCCATCTTAGGTTATTGCAGTACCCCTTCTAATAAAAATCCAGAGCTGTGTCTTGGCCTACAGGCAGATATTTCATGGAGTTAAATTCCCAGTTATCTACAAACTTCTGTTCCTTAACATTCTATTTTGTTTTCTTAAGAATAGGCTGGCAAATCTCCCTGTTCCGAAGGATCCTGAAAATCTTACGGATTTTAGTCAGTCAGCTGTATTTCATTATTATTTTTTCAGTATCTTAATATGTGCAGAGTTAATTTTGTGTGGTGCCCTATTGTCATGCCTTATCCAATGATCAGTCTCATCAGCCTTTGACACAGCTGGTTATCCTTAAGAAATCTTTGCCCAAGTTAATGCCAAAGATTTTCTAATGTTCTTGTAGGTGTTTTACTGTTATATGTTTTGTATTGGTTTGATTGACCAGTTACTTTAGCACAATATATATATTTTTAAGATTTATTTTTATTATTTAAAGGACTTTCAGAGCATGAGAGTGAGCAATAGATCTTTCATCCACTGGTTCACTTCCCAAATGGCCACAGTGGTCAGGGTTGAACCAGGCTGAAGCCAGGAGCCTGAAACCTCTTCCAGGTCTCCCAGGTGGGTACAGGCACCAAGCCTTGAGCCATGTGGTGCTGCTTTCCTAAGTGCATTAACAGGAAGCTAGATTGGAAGTACAACAGCTGAGACTTGAACTAAGACCCGTCTGGTTTGCTGGCACCACAGGCGGCAGCTTTACTTGGCGCACTACAGTATCAGCGCCTCTAGCGCAGTTTAGACAGTCCTTTATTTCATTGCCTTTTCAATTTGCCAAATAGTAGTTGATTGTAATTGCATGGGTTTATTTTTGGGCTCTGTATTTTCACCTCATTTGCATTTGTCCTTTCACTGATACCACCCT